AAAAATTGTATACATATAATTTCAGAATATTATATATCTCTATTATATTACTCTAGTTTACAACTCTTGTTTAATTTATCTTAAATCTTAAAATACTGATTTTAAAACCTTATTATGTGATTGTTGATTCTATTTTTACCAGACTGCTTTTTCTAAACTAGACCTATTATAGTTCTTTACTTTGAAAATTGCTTTTATATTTTACAAGATTAAACAAAAGGTCTTTTTAATAGTTAATCAGTATTATTAGAGCTACTGTCTAGAGTTTATCACATAGAGCTTTTATTTCTAATAATTAAAATCTAATCCAAACACAGGTTTTTCATTATGTACTTTAATTTAACCAAAATAGAATATATAATTGTTGTATTTTTATTCATTATATTATAACTTGAGACTTTTCAAAAATAAAAATAGTAAACAATACCAATTTTTTGAAGAAAAGTAGTCAAATTTTCTACTTTTTAACAAAAATTATGAAAAAAAAGAATAGCAAAAAAATATTGTAGTTTTATGAATTTTTTAATCAAGAAGTATTGTTCCAAGAATTTTTAATAGACTTCTGTTGTCAAATAACTTGAGTCTTTTTTCTACTTACTGTTTTCAGAAACTTCTCTAGTTTGAATGCTAAACACAAAAAGAAGTCTAACCAGAAAAAAAGTAAACAAGATTTGATTCTTCTGCAAACTGTTCAAAACACCTGCTTCTTGGTATATTATATTTAAAACTTCGTCAACAACAGTTTATATTAAAAAAACTTCAAGTTATTTGTTTACTTTTGGTTTTAAGTATATATACTAATGAAATTATTTTGAGGTCTAAAATCTGAAATTAAAATTTGAAAATAAAATTGTTTTTGATCTATTTTACTTAAAAAACAAAAATTTTTAATACTTTTTTTGAAAAGACAAAATTATAAGAAACAAAACTAACTAAATTAAATTTGCTCTTGCATATAAAAAATTTTGATTTGCTTTAATAAAGACAAAATAGAGTTTTTTTAAAACCTTACTTCAGTGGTATGTATAGTTTTGAGTTTTTAATATTAGAAAATTTTATAAGAGGATATATATCAATTATTAATCAGAAGAATATATATTAATACCAATCATTTCTGCAAGGTTTTATTGATTATGATTATAATCAATATATAGCCAAAATAATTAGTAATTGATATATATTCAATATATAGTAATAAAAATCATATTTATTAATATATATATATATAGGGAAGTTAATAGAAAAGGGACAAATTTTTTCTAAGTAAAAGTTTTCTTAATTTTAAACCTAAATATTTCAACAACTATTTTATCAAATTTGATAATTTTTTTTTATTTTAATTCTATATAATTTCAAAATTAAAATAAAAAAAATTTTATCAAATTTGATTAGATAGTTGTTAAGATATTTTAATTTAAAAATTAAAATAATTTTACTAAAAATGATTTGTCCCTTTTCTATTGACTTTTCCTCATATATTAAAATTACAAAATAAAAATTTTTATTTTAATTAAAAAACTTTATTTTATTAAAATTAAAAAAAATTATATATATTTTAATCTATATGACCTTTTACAATGCAATTACTACAAATATGCTAATTCAACACTACAAAAAAATTACTAGAAACTAGCACTTTTATATAAATTAATTTTTTTTATAGTTCTAGATTATTATTCCCAGTTCTAATTCGCAATTACTGCAAAAAAAATATTAGTAAAAGAAAAGAAAACAAAAATAACAAGAAAAACTAAATTGGTATTTATCTTTTGTACTAGTTCCAAATTCAAGATTTCTATTCTGGCTTCTTATACTATTCCTAGTACTAATCTAAAAAAATATTAACAAAAAACAAAAAAAAAAGCAAGACAAAAAACAAAGCTAGTACTTATCTTTTGTACTAGTTCTAAATTCAAGATCTTTAGTTTCAAATTCAAGATCTTTATTTCTGACTTCTTATACTATTCTCAGTACTAATCTAAAAAAATATTAGTAAAAAAACAAAAAAAAAAAGATAAAAAACAAAGCAAGTACTTATCTTCTGTACTAGTTTCAGGTTCAAGATCTCCATTTCTGACTTCTTATATTATCAACTTGCAAAAAAAATAGTAGTAAAAAAATAAAAAAAGAAACAAAATAAAAAACAAAGCTGGTACTTAACTTCTGTACTAATTTTAGGTTTAAGATCTCTATTTCTAGCTTAAGCTTTCCATTTCTGGCTTTTTATATTATTCTTAATACCAACCTAAAAAAAAATATATTAGTAGAACAAAAAAAAAAAATAAAACAAAAAACAAAATTAGTACTTAACTTCTGTATTAGTTCTGAGTTTAAGATTTTTAGTTTTAGGTTCAAGATTTTTATTTCCAGCTTCTTATACTAACAACTTTTAAAAAAAAATATTAATAGAAGAACAAAAAAAAAAGCAAGATAAAAAACAAATCTAGTACTTATCTTTTATACTAGTTCTAAGTTCAAAATCTATAATTTTAGATTAAGATCTTTATTTTTGGCTCAAAATCTTCATTTTTAGCTTCTTATACTATTCCTAATATCAATTTAAAAAAAAAACATTTGTAGAACAAAAAAAAGAGACAAGATAAAAAACAAAGCTAGTATTTAACTTCTGTACTAGTTCCAGATTCAAGATCTTCAATTTCAGGTTTAAGATCTTCATTTCTGGCTTCTTATACTACCAACCTGCAAAAAAAAAATATTAATAAAAAAACAAAAAAAAGAGACAAGACAAAAAACAAAGCTGATACTTAACTTCTGTACCAGTTCCAGCTTCAAAATCTACAGTTCCAGGTTCAAGATTTCTATTCTTGGTTCAAGATCTCTATTCCTGACTTCTTATACTATTTTTGATACTAATCTAAAAAACAAAAAATGTTAGTAGAAGAACAAAAAAAAAGAAACAAAATAAAAAACAAAACTAATACTTATCTTCTATACCAGTTTCAGATTCAAGATCTTTAGTTTTAGGTTCAAGATCTTTATTCCCGGCTTCTTATACTACCAACTTGCAAAAAAAAAACATTAGTAAAAAAACAAAAAAAAGACAGACGAAAAACAAAGCTAGTACTGATCTTCTGTATTAGTTCCAAATTCAATTTTCCTGACAAAGCATTAACCTGCAAAAAATAAAAACCTTAGTAAAGAAAACAAAAAAAAAGAATAAAAAAACAAACTAATTAGTATATATATTTTATACTAATTCCAGATTCAAAATCAAATCAACCTTTACTCTAACCATAAGCAAGGTTTAATTTTTCGTTTGTAAAAATTGTTTTGATTGCATGTTATACGAATTTGTAATTCAATAAATTATATACGTATATAAACGCTACGTGTAAACTAATAAATTTTCTTTTTAAAATTTATTTACATGCTATATTTTAACTAAAAGAAAAAAACACCCAACTTTTTAAGATTTTGTTCCAAAAGTTAGAGAATAAGTACTTGTTTGCAGTTTATTCAAATAGCTTTTAATTTTCGAAAACAATTCACCTATCTTGTTTTGCCTATTATACGTTAGTTAAAATTTCTAAGTTTTTTATAAGTTTTGTATATAAAATTTTTAACACAAATTTTTTTATATTAGAGTTAATAGTTAGGATTAAGGTTGAAAAGGGTTTTTGGAGGCGTAGAACATTTTTTACTTAAAACACTTCGCACCAATTAATTAGCCAGTTTTTGAGATAATGGATACATAGGTGTAAAACACCATAGGTGCGTTTTAGTAACATTCTTTTGTGAAATAAAAAAAGTAAAAATATATTAAATTTTTATTATATATATCCAAAACAAAGCGAGAGTCATTTTGCTAGTTAATAAATGTAAAATATGAAATGATTTTTTTGCGTTACACCTGACCTTGAAATTATATGAAATTTGATTGGCCAACGAAATTTTTACAAGTAACAACGCTAGTACAGTTTGGATTCTTTCTCTAAATAATTTAAATAATTTAAAAAAAAAATAGAATAACGCGATTAAATCATTTATACAAACTTGTCATTAAAAAGTCTCTTCTGGTTATTTAACACACTGCCTTGAACTGCGAATATTATCCCAAATTAGTGCCAAAAAAAAAAGTTTGAAAAAATGAAAGCGCCCAACGTGGGGGTCGAACCCACAACCTTGAGATGACTAGAATCCTAAGAGTCTCACGCTCTACCGATTGAGCTAGCCGGGCTTGATATATTAAATCAGCATTATAAATAATTAATATCTATTTCAAAATTTATGTTTAGCGTAACAAACATAAAAATTATCACCAAAAATTTCACTTCGTCACTAAAAATGTACTTTACACAAAAAAATTTTAAATTAGTACACCGTTTTCTAACGCGGTTCAACAATATATTTTACACTCAAATTAATGAATTTCATTATAAAAGTCATCATAGACCGTTATATATTTTTTATAGACGTAAAAATGTTAGGCAATTGCATTCTGTTGTTCCTCTTCCTTATACTATAGATAATGGAATTCAACCATTGTTCACAGAGAAAAGTCTTAAAGAATTAATTGATTATCAATCCACCCTTGTTGATAATTTGAATAAATTTACTTCAGGTAGCTACTAAAAGGAATTTTTGATTTAATTTATAAAAAAGTATAAAAAATAATAAATTTTTTCAGATACAGAATTTTCGGATTACACAATTTATGAAATAATAACCAAAACTGCGCAAGAACCATCGAAAGCTTTAATATTTAATTACGCATCTCAGGCATGGAACAATGATTTCTTTTTACAGGGATTGGTTTGTATCTTCGCATAAACTTTCCAATTTTCTGCCACCTTGAATTAAAGTTCATACTAAACCAGGTTTTATTGGAATCATAGACACCAAAGGGCGTGACACTTCCAGAACCATTTCTTCATGAGCGAATCAAACAAACATTTGGATCAATAAACGATTTTAAAACACATGTAAGTCCAATCATTGTTATTTATGACGTCACTTCCGATTCGGAAATTTTCTAATCACTTCATCATATATTAATAAATAGTTTAAAGATATGGCATTGGGACTATTTGGTTCCGGATGGACATGGCAAGTAATTACAAAAGATTGAAGTCAGTAAAGATAACGAACATATTCTAACCTTCTACGCGTATCAATAAGGCTTGTTGAAACAGAATTTAAACAACTCAGAGTGGTAAACACTTATAATGCAGGTGAAAAAATATAATCCATCAATCAACTTAGGCACTAGTTTAATATGATCTTACGCCGTGCTAACGAATTTAACTATAATCCATATTACAATAGGCACAACTCTTGACACTACTCGTCTCCAAGAAAAAGATCCAAACAATCACCCAACAAGTTTCCTGTCATCTCCATTCTTGACTACTTCCTCACAATTTGCCCCAAACGCCGGCTCTTCTAAGCCAGTTCCACCCCCTTCCATAGCATTGAATCTAGTAGATCCACCACCACACAAATCTAAATTCACTCCGTTGTTATGTTTAAATGTTTGGGAGCATGCGTATCTTAAGGATTTTGGAATTCATGGTAAGGAAACGTATATAGATCGTTTTTGGGAATGCGTTGATTGGACAGTTGTGCATAATAGAGCTGCGTCATTGCGTGATGTTCAAGGTTCTTAAGATGTTTGGCATACATTATAAAAAATATGTGGGACAGAATTCAATACCAAAGACACAAAATTGACGTGATAGAGAAAATCAACTATTATAATAAAATTTATATCAGGTTCCATATTTGGTAGCGATTATTAAAAGAAATCGCGTTCTGTATGCGATAGAAATTTAAGCTACTGAGTGCTATGGATTTTCTGTGTAGCCAAATTATTTAAATTATCTAGAGAAAATAAATAACCTGTCAATAAAATCAATTTGTCTTTTATAAATAAACCTGTAATATTATAATGATTTACCTTTATTAATTTTGATGCTAAGGACTGTCACTTTCAGATCAAAAAAAAAAACAGACTGATATCATAATCGTTTCAGATAGCATACATATTTTGAGTGTATTTGGACTGTATTCATGTACCCTAGAATACTAATCGTACGGTGATTAATCACGTACAGTAATATCGATTCTTCAAACAGAACTCAATTTAAATTTAAAAAATTAAATTACTAGATCCATTTTAAAAATTGCGTAGTTATAAAAACCATGAAATTAATTTTGCATTTATATATATCTTAAATCTCAATATAATTAACAAATTTATTGAAATAGCCCACAAATACACAAGAAATAAATACTTATTATTATTTATATAGAACTAAGAACGACCGTTACGGTGAGCATCTGTGTGACAATTATGAAGTTTAGCATAATTTATTAATTAAAAGATATGGGAAAAAAACAAAATCAACAGCAAAAATACTATTTATTTCATAAGATTACTAACATACTTATCAATTTATATAGTAGATGGATTTGAATGTTAATTACGCAGTTTTTTTATATCATAAATACACAATATTTTGTTGCATTGTTTCTGACATTTTTATTATTTTGAATGATTTATGTTAAATGTAATACATAATGACGCGTGTAGAGCCACTTCCTTTCCTAACGTCCACGTCCACGTCCTCGTCCGCGAGTACCACGTCCACGTCCGCGACCACGACCAACGCCTACAGCTATAGTTAATTAAACAAGCAGTATTTATTATTAATAGTTATTGTATTGTCATAATCATATAATATTTCACTGGAATTCATTTAGAATAAGACATCCCATGAACATCGAGACATACTTTCTTTCTTTTTAGCCTTAGCCTTTGGCGTATCATCAACTAACAGCGTATCCAATTGGAGAGACTCTGGTAAAATGTAATACCGAATGTTATTTCCCCTGATACTCAAGGAATCCAAATTGACCGGATCCTTGTTTTTCACAGTCATTTTGACGGTTTTAAGGTGGGTATTCATGCTCATATCGACTCCTTTATATAAAAAGGTTAGTTCAAAGCAAAAGATCACCTTAAATTATATATATATAAATACCAGTAATGGTTCCATGGACTATTGTTCCATTTTTGAGCTCTATCGTGACGGTTTCGTTATTTAATTTCATTAAAAACCTAATACGACATGTATGCACATATATTAAAAACTCTATTAACGCGTATGAACTTTTATGTAAATGAAAGTGAGGAATTTTTTTTTATAGCAACGCTGGATCACCACAAAAGCTAACTTCACACATAGGGCTCAGTTTACCTTACGAGTTTCATATTTACAAATTCTATCGCTATGTCGAGACGAAATTTATTTTCGAAATATATATAATGAAATGCACAGAACTGCAAAAAAAATTATTGGAAGTTTCAGAATTTCTGGTCACATGCAGATCAACTATATTACATAAGTTCGTTGAATTTCATATGATCAACATCACATGATCATAAACCGAGCAAGCATCCCAGACACTATGTTTTAACGACTTTTATAAATTTCGCAGATTTCTGATATATAGAAGTTGACAGTATTTGTAATTGACATTTATTAGTATGACTGATATTGATACGGTAAAGAACTTTTTGCGTTCACCTGGCAAAACTGATCGTGCTGACTTAATCAATGCTTTGGAGATCATGAATTTATCGCTTGAGGGTAAGTGTTTACTTATGTATCATTACACACTATCGAAAAATTCGATTATCGAATCAAGGTTATATTAAAAAAGGGTAAATCTTAATATGATGTGTTTGTTAGGTCCAAATGGAGCACAAAAGGCTCAAACTATTCTTGCAGCTATACCTATCCCAGAGCTTTTCACACTTCTCGGGAATTATGAAGACGTGGTTTCTTTGGCTACTTGTAAAGTTCTTAACAAACTTTTACGACCCATGAGCTATGCCGATATAAATTCATCTGGACTTCAGGTTTTATTCTCAATAAATACGAGCTTTTAATCGCGTGTAATAATTTAATTTTATGGTTATTAATGTTTTGATCTAGGAATATTTGATGCTAGGTTTGCAACATGAAGTTCCCGAAGTTCGAATTCTTACATTAAATCAAATTGAAAAGTGTCAAGAGTCAGAAGAAGCAATCCAAGATTTGGTATTTTAACTGTCTACTTATATATTTGAAATGTTATGAGTGTATACTTTTTACAGTCGTCCTCCCATGCAATCACATAGTTGGGCACACATAGTAATGTTTATATGGAAATTTTTTCTTATAAATTAAATCATAGTTTGGCCTGAACGTAAATGTGATTACATATGATGCGATTATATGGGAGGTGACTATATGGAGGGGCTACTGTATTTATTTGTTAAATCATATTACATTAGGTTAAATCGCCTCTTTTTCCTGCTATGCTGGAAAGTTTGGGGTTCGATGATACACTGACATCAACTAGAATATTAGAACTCCTTGTCAAAGTTTCGTAAGAATTTATTATCTGATATGAGAATAAGTTATTAATTGTGAATTCACGATAAATCCCTAATAACATTGCTGTATAAATTTAGCTTGTTACGACTAGCTCTTATTGTTTCCAAGTTTTCTTCGATCCTGAGTCGATAGCAATTCTAAATAGGCTTTCCAAAGGGTAATAATCTCTGTTATATACCAGTTCTCAATTGTCAACGATTTTGATTTTCATTCTATCCCAACAAAATAAGTGACGGAATTGTAAAATTTCGTGTATTTGATCTGATGGCTCGAATATCATTATCTTCACCAGAAGCATTTCAATTATGTGAATCATCTGGTTCTCTGGAAGCAATAACATCAGAACTAAAATCTGATGACTTATTGATAAAATTAAATGCAATAGAAACTCTATCCAAGGTTGCTATATATAATACACATTTACCTGACATGTATATAACACGCTCATCATTGAGATTCATTGTTATTTATATATTTAAAATAAGATAATTCAAAGTCGAATTAGTTATTCCTTTTTTGAAAAAGCTGGAATTCTACAGTTCTTTGTTGATATTTTGTCAAAGGATGATGATCAAGACATTACGCTAGTTCTAGAGAAATGTTCTGTACTCAAATTTTTTGGGAAATTATGTGAAGTGGAGGTTTGCTGCAATTACTCAATTATCTTATGATTTTATATATTAAATATTAATAGTTTGAGTGCCATTTTTTAGGACATAGATTTCTCTGAAGTGGAAGATAAATACAAAATCTTAAGACAAATAGATGCACATTTATTGAGTGATCATGTGGATCTCAAAGTAAGTGTATCAATTTATTGATAAATACCTTTAATAGTTTACTGATGTTTTAAACCTTTATGGGCTCAAGATTACTTCAATACATATTATTGGAGTGATAGGTCATAAAGAATATGGTCTGAAGCTCTTGTATTCGAGTGTGTCGCCTAATTTGCTAGGAGACTTTATGGATCTTTACCACAGTTCGTCAGGTGATGTAAAGTTGGCATGCTTACAGACAATATCGTGCTTACTCGGTGTAAGGTATGTAACACCACACTTGGGACGCCATTGTTTGTGAATAGAAATCTGATAAATACGATTTAATAGTGAAAAACCAACCAAAGAGCTGTCAGATATTGCCGAGCAAATATATCACCAAATGGGAGGTACGTATAGCAACTGAAATCTTATGTTATCTACAGTTAGCTATTATATGGGATAAGTGCTACAAGAAAAGGGAATTCGTCAATTCTTTTGAAATTTATTTACTTTGCATAAATCAATTCGAAATAACATTAGAATTATTTTTTATGTAAGATATAAAAGCGGTTATATTACTAAATTCTTGCAATACAACTATACTTGCAAATCCCAAACTCTAGACAAACTAATGTCAAAAACTTTAATAATCTTTATTTAAAAATGTTTTTTTTTGGAGTTTGGGATTGTCAGATTTTGCTAGCAAGTATAAGTACAACTCGTTAAATTTGTATTATGAAATTTATAACATAAATTTAGTTTTGTTTTCCGCGGATTTTATTCTCTTCCCCTTTCTTGGTACTCCGCCCATATAAATAAATATATATTTATTTATTTACTTATTTTTGATGTTTATATAGGTAATCCAACACCTCTTACATCTCTAATTGCAAATGTTAGACGTGGGGTCGAAGAATTTCGTATGATTAGTTTTACCATTTTACAAAAAATGGCCTTTCATCCATGGGGTAAAACTGAAATGGTAAACTGTAAAGAATTTATTGACTATATAATTGATCGTTCTAATGAGTCCACGCACAAGGGGAAAGAATGGAAATTCACCATTATTCAAACGTTGTATGAGTCACCTAATTCTGAAACTATTATTGCACCTAACATTCTGGAACAGTTCAGGCGATATTTGCATGAGGGCCCCTTTTACGTAAAAAGTAAGACTGCTGTTGCATTAGAAAATGCATAAATTTGTTCAAAAATAATGTCTAAAACTCTAGTCAATGCAAAATAAATAATATGCATTACATATGTATTTAATATGTTTAATAATAAATAAAATTATTACGTATTACATTCTTTTAATAACAATTTGTTTAAATCTTAACATAATTTATATTTAATTTTTATTTTATTTCACTTTTTGAGAACGCTAAATTTTTGATTTAAATGGATAGATTTATAGTTTTAAAGTAAAGAATTTTTAAATAAAAGCATTATATAATTAAGCTTCAAAGGTTATTAATATTATAATTGTATTTATGTAAACAAATTTTAAACTAAAAAGAATTGATTACTTGTAAAGCATTCCTAATTTTTTATTGTATATATTTGTTATAAAAAGTAAAAATACTGTATTACCTAGTTTATAAAAGATTAATATTAAAATTTTGAGTAAAAACAAATATTTAACTTTATTGATGTTCAAGACATTTCTTGACATGTTCAAAGCCAAGTCCAAAATATTCAAGTATAACTGTTGTATTTTAATGAATTAAATCAAGAAGTCAGTAAATTTTGAGCTATTACAATTTCTTTTTAGTATAACGTGATCAAGATCTTGTCTACTGGCCCTCATTTAAACTAAAAAGAATTGATACGTTATAGATTACTTGTAAAGCATTCTTAATTTTTATTGTATATATTTATTACAAAAAGTAAAAATACAGTATTACCCAGTTTATAAAAGATTAATCTTAAAATTTTGAGTAAAAACAAATATTTAATTTTATTGGTGTTCAAGATATTTCTTGACATGTTCAAATCCAAGTCCAAAATATTCAAGTATACTTACATTCGTATAAAATTAGACGCTAAATACTGTTGTATCTTAACGAATTAAATCAAGAAGTCATAATAAAATCTTGAGCTATTAACCTTTTTAGTATAACGTGACTAGTGTTGAAATTGTTTCAATCGATTAGTTGGTTAATTATTATTCCAGTTGGTTGCAACTAATCTAATCGATTAATCGATTAGTTGCAACTAATTAAGTAAATAAATAATTTCCAATCGATCCTTTGCATAGCAATTAGATGCAATTAATCGATTAGTCGATTAATTGATTAATTGATTAGTTGGTGTCTAAAAAGTTCGATTAGTTGTCAACTAACCAACTAATCGATTTTTCAACTTTCGATTTGTAACACTAAACGTGACCAAGGTTCTGTTTACTGGACTTGGATAATTCGAACCCTTAATAAACTCTGTAAAAACTCTTTTGAGAGCTGAACTTTTGATATTTTTATATATAAAAACAGACTGTTTGGAATAAAGAGTTGTCTATAATAATTAGTTCTGGTCATCAGGAAAGCAATAGTAATTGTTTAGCCAATCAACATTTCTGAGATTTGATTGGTATTTTATTCTATTTTATTATTAATAACGGAAGTATTTCCCGTCCCTGCTTGCTTTACAGATAATTTTATCGTTGTAATGCAACATTATTAAACTTTCGCTTGAATACTTGTTCAGCATGTTTGGTGTGTTTATTTTTAATTTGTGCGAAAGTTTATGGGAAAAGCTGTTCTTGTTAACAAATAAATCTTGGCAAGAAATATAAACAAGGCTCTGGATATAGAATAGACTTTTATATAATAAACATATCACACGAATAGGTGTTAATATTAAAAAAGTTAGATATATATTCAAGAATTCATTGACTTGTTTAAATGCAAAGATTTTAAAAAAATTAATATATGGGCTGAGTGTTATAAAAAAGAAGAAAATCATTTGGCTAATTTTTATCAGGTATTTTAGAATTTATGAAAACGGCTATAAATATTAACCAAATTCACATTAAGTCACAAAAAACCCTATTGGATTGAACTCAAACTAGTTTGAAACTTCAAACCAAACCAGATTAAATCTAGACTTGACTAAAAAGTTTAAATATAAAAGTTTAAGTCCAGTTCGAAAATCAAGCTGACTAAAGTTTGGTTTGGGTTTGGTTTGTAGAAGCACTAGTAACAGCTGTGGCTAAAGCTAGAATATCTAGTATATAAAAAAATTTTGGTATACTACAAGCATATTTTTGTTAAAATTTGTACTATAATATATCTTTTTATATGCTATAAAATATTATATTATTAATAATCATAATAATATTGTTATAAAACTGTTTATTTATTTATTTATTTATTTTTTTTTTTTAACGTCTACCCTCTTGGGAGCTAGGATTTTTATTCAGGTATATATGGCGAAGAGTTCTCTAGGGACCCCTATATTAGAGAGTACATACTAGCCACACGTACAATTTTGGTGTCTAATTTAAGTAGTCTGCCTGTACATCATACAGGTTCTACACTAGATGCCATACCTTATAAAACTGTTTATTATTTTATTAGTTTATTTTTTATTATTTTTTTTTTCTTGGTGATCCTGTCTTTATTATTTAAATCAGAAGTACCAGAACTTTATATTTAAATTAAATATAAATTTTCTATATTATATTCTTGTACT